TGACTAAGGATGTTGAACATTTCCTTAAGTGTCTTTCAGCCATTTTAGATTCCCCTGTTGAGAGTTCTCTGTTTAGGTCTGCACTCCGTTTTTTTTTAAATTGGATTATGTGTTCTTTTGGTGTCCAATTTCTTGAGTTCTTTGTATATTTTGGAGATCAGACCTCTATCTGATGTGAGGTTAGTGATGATCTTTTCCAATTCTGTAGGCTGTCATTTTGTCTTGTTGACCGCTTGAAGGTCCTAGTTTCATACACACAGTCAGACATAAAAGACAGAAAGATCCTGATATAATAATAGTGGGTGACTTCAGTACCTTTATCTAGTCAATAGATAGGTCATCAAAACTAAGAGCTGACAAATGTCAACAATATTTGACATAATGGATCAAATAGACTTAATAGGTATTTCCAGAAGACGCAGGATGCACATTCTTCTCTTCAGAACTCTCTAGAATGATCACACTTTACGATATAAGGCCAATGGGAACAAGGAAAAAAATCGGAATAATTTCTTGCACCTTGCTTGATTAAAGTGGATCAGACCTAGAATGCAACGGCAAGGGGAAACACAGAAAATAGGCAAATACATGGAGACTTAACAAACCACTTTGGAATTGGAGAAATCAGAGGAGAAATTTAAAAATTGCTACAACTGAATGAAAAAGAAAGCACACCTTCTCAGAGCATGTGGGAAACAGCAAAGAAGAAAGTTCAGAGCTCTGAGTGCTTCTATTAAAGAGCAGAAAAAGGCTTAGCAGGCCAACGCTTGACTGGATAGATCCCTAACCCCACGTAAAAGCCAGGTGGGCATGGTGGCTGCCTGTAATCCCAACACCGAGGGCAAAGCCAGGTCAGGGCAAGCTGGCTAGACTATCTGGGAATGGAGAGCTCCTGAGATTCCGACCCTGAAAATAAAGTGGGGAGTGTTTAAAAAACATCCTACCACAATTCAGTTTCAATTTTCTACATACATGTGCACACATGCACATAGATATATGCATCCACACACTTGCGCATGTGTATGCACGCCACACATCCGCATGTAAAAGAAAAACCCCAGAGATCTCACTTGAATAATTTGATGATGTTTTAGAAGAACAAGAATGAGATACAGGGCTGGAGAGATGGCTCAGTGGTTAAGAACATTGCCTGCTCTTCCAAAGGTCCTGAGTTCAATTCCCAGCAACCACATGGTGGCTCACAACCATCTGTAATGGGGTCTGGTGCCCTCTTCTGGCCTGCAAGCATACACACAGATAGACCATTGTATACATAATAAATAATAAATAAATATTTAAAAAAAAAAAAGAATGAGATACAACCCAGCGTAGTATTGAACAAAATTATAAGGACCCAACTAGAAATTACGGGATGAACACTAAAAGAACAATACAAAGCAAATAAAACAAAGAAAAATAAAGTTTTGTGGAAAAAGACAAGATTGACCAAACCTTGCCCAAATGATCTAAAGAAAGAGAAGGCTTGAATTAACAAAATTAGAAAAAGGGGGAGGAGGCATCAACCCCAGAGGGTCACTAGGAAGTACTTTGAAAACTGATACTCTGAAAACATGGGAAATCTAGAAATGAGTACGTTTATAGACACATATGACCTACCAAAACTCAAGCAAGAGGATCCATGTTAAATACATCCATAACATGCAGCATGGTAGAAGCAGTCATAATTTCCTGACAAAGAATTCTAGGGTGCCTCTAAAAACCAGCAAACACTAATACTCCTCAAGCTGTCCCATGGGTTGGAAAGGAAAGGAAGAAAAGAAACTAGAAACTAAGACAAACCGTCTAACTCATTCCACACAAGAAAGACCTCTGAGCGGGGCAAACTAGATAGGCCAGACCTGGCTGGCCAAGCCTGGGTGGCTAAGAATGACCTTGAACTCCTGATTCCCACCCAGGGTAACCTTGGCCACTCAAGACTCTGCCTCCCACCTCACCCAAAACAAACAAACAAACAAACAGGCATCCTCTCATTATCCTGAGACCCAAACCAGGTGAGAAAAGAAGAAAAAACTGAAGACCACTATCCCTGATGGACACAGATACAAAAATTCTTTATAAAATACCTGTAAACTGAATTCACCACAATACATTTTTAAAAAAAAGGTATGCACAACAATGATGATGGTTTAATCTGGGAGAAGAGAATGCTTCAGCAAATACAAATCAGACACCAATCACTAGGTCATTCCAATGAACACAGAAAAGGTCTTTGGCATCCCTTCGTGATGAAAGCCCAGAATAACAATGGTCAGACATACCTCAACACAGTAAAGGCTACGCATCATAAACCTATGGTCAACTTTATACTTAGTGGCGAAAACCTGAATGCATTCCCTCAAAGATCAGGAAGGAGACAAGGGTGCCTGCCGACTTTCCATTCTTCTTCAGTAAGGAGCCTGAGTTTTAGCTACAGAGTTAAGGCAAAAGGAAAAAGTGGGTGGGAGGGGGAGAAGGGAGGAGATTGCATATCCCTCTTGGTAAGTGGAAGTATCCTATGTATGTGGGGGGTGAGGGGGGTGCAAATCTACAACCCTTGTCACACAACAAGAGGGCAAGCCAAGTGGATTTTGAGTTTGCGGTAGCCTGGGCTATATAGTGAGGTTGTGTTTTAAGAAATAAACAGCCTGATTACAGAAACAAACAGAAAGCAAAGATATCCAAACACAACAATCCAGAAACACTACTACTGACTTTCTAACTTTATAAGTTCCACTGCAAATGGCGGCACACAGCACTTCCTCCCTGAGACGTGACACGAAGCTTAAACCCAGGGCCTGCTCTCTTCCACTCGTTTTGTATAAGTACTTAGATTCTAGAAAAATATGCACCAGATATAGTCCCACAGAAAAGTGTCTTGGCTCCGTTTCCATTGCCCTGTTAAAACACTGATCAAAAGCAATTTGGAGAGGAAACGGTTTCTTTCAGCTCACAGTCATAATCCATCAAGAAGGTAAGTCATGGCAGGAACTCAAGAGCAGGAACCTGGAGGCAGGAACCGAAGCAGAGACCAGGAAGATGGAAGACAGCTGCCTACTGGCTTGCTCTCCCATGGCTTGTCTGTTTGCTTCCTTAGACCCTGGACCACCCGCCCAGGGGTGGCACTGCCCAAAGTACTATCAATTAGCAATCGAAAATGCCCCACAGACTTCTCCCCTGGTAATCTGACAGAGGACCTCTTCTTCTTCTGTTCTAGCTTGTGTCAAACAAGAGCTAGTTCCAGGACAGGGTCCAAAAGCTACAGAGAAACTCTGTCTCGAAAAACCAAAACCAAACAAACAAACAAAAACAAAAAATAATGAGAACAGGGAGAATAATGCATTTATTTATTTGCTGTATGGGGGAGGTGGGGGGTGAGTGGGTGTTGGAGGTCAGAGGGCAATTTGTGGCACTTGGTTCACTCTTGCCAACGTGTAGGTTCCAGGGATTAAATCTAGGAGTTCATCAGGCAAGCACCTGGACCCACTGAGTCAGCTCATTGGCTTTAATACAATTTAAACACACACACACACACAAAAAAAAAAAAAAAACCCACGGTCTCACTGTGTAGCCCTGGCTGTCCTGGACCTTACAGATATCTGCTTGCTTCTGCCTCCCTAGTTCTGGAATTAAAGGCCAGGTCCATCACAACCCACGATAACACATTTTCTTTTAAGGCAATTGTACTCTTGAATAGAAATTAAAATTTACCCAGAAAAAGGATGAGAAATCACACAATACAATGTGACACTTGCCAGGGGCTAAAACAATCTATAAACTAGTCTCTGCACCAGCAGGGACCACAGGTCTGTTGGATTCAGGAAGTGCAGGTGGCTACAGGTAAGAGGTCACATCCTGGGGCTGTCAGGGAGAATGCCTCTTCAGAGGCGGCTGTGGAGGACCTCTAAGTCCACAGCAGGCAAGTACCCAGACCGTCACTGTGGGGCGGTGGTGGCACATGGGAGGCAGAGGCAGGCGGAGCTCTGTGAGTTACAGGACAGCCAGAGGTGTGACACACAGAAACCCCGTCTCAAAAACAAAACAAAACAAAAACCTAAAAACCAAAACCAAACCAAAACAAAAAAACAAAACAAAGAAGAGGAGGAAGAAACAAGAGCACTTTCTCTATGATTTAGGGTTCATCTCCCTCTGCAGAATTTATGTTGAAATGCCCCTTGTCCTCAAGGGCAACGTGAGTGGAAGCAACTGTTTACTTACTGTAAACTCAAGAAGCCGCTGGCTGGTCAGTGTTGCTCTTGACATCAGATGAGATGTGGGTTACATCACAGCTATGTGTCCCACAGTTTCTTCCAAATGCCATTCTGCACTAACATAAGGAAGAAACTCAGTTTCCTTGAGTAACTTCATAATCCACTTTCCAGAACTATCCATTTGGAGGCAGCTAAGTGCGGCTGAGGGACAGGCACTGTCTGGCCACCACACTTTTAAGCAATCACTTCTATCTTGTCCACTTACAGTTCCTTAGAAGCAGTGAATGTCTTGAAACTAGAGCGGGCACTAGTCACTTTGAGACTATGCGGTCCCACCCCCAGGCTCTGAAGGCTGGGTTAGCTGAATGGGGTGCAGCCGCAGCAGTCCCCCATTCAGCAGTGAAAGTCGGCACAGTTTGTCTAGGTCAGCACGTAAGCCGAAGCCAGCCCTAGCCGGGCAGAATCTCGAACGCCATCATTTTCCGTCCTCCACTGGCTCCCACTCTCGGGTGGCGCCCCGCAGATCCGGAGCCCGCAGGGCAGGAGAGACCCGGGTGGCGGCGCCCCGCGTGGCCGCGCACACCCGCCGGTGCAGACTCCGGCCCGCAAGCCCCGCCTCCCGGGCCCAGCTGATCCGCGCCGCCCTGCAGGCCCCACGCCTCGGCCCCGCCGAGCCTCACGCCGCCCACGCCCGCTGCCCCCGCACCGCGGATAGGGGTCCAGGCTGGCCGTTCACCTTGGGCTGCGCAAGCGCGCGCGTGGGCTGGGAGGGCAGCGGGAGACGGGGCGGCCTGCACGGTGCTGTGGAGCCGGGAGTGGAGCGGCCCCGCCATGGCCATGGAGGTCTACATCCCGTCCTTTCGCCACAGAGGACAGCGACCTGGAGCGCGGCTACACGAGAGATGCAAACCAAGACAGCTAGCTGGAAGGAGTCACTGCTGAAGGTGCGGAGTAACTGTGAGGTGTTTAAAATAGAAGTGCTAATGAATGGAAGAAAACATTTTGTTGAGAAAAGGTACAGCGAATTCCATGCCTTGCACAAAAAGCTTAAGAAATGTATAAAGACTCCAGAAATCCCTTCTAAACACGTCAGGAACTGGGTCCCCAAAGTCCTGGAACAACGGCGGCAAGGCCTGGAGACATATTTGCAGGCCGTCATTTTGGAGAACGAAGAACTCCCCAAACTCTTCCTTGATTTCCTCAATGTCAGACACTTGCCCTCTCTACCAAAGGCAGAAAGTTGTGGATCTTTTGATGAGACAGAATCTGAAGAGTCAAGCAAGCTGTCCCACCAGCCGGTGTTGCTGTTCCTCGAAGATCCATACGTCTTGCCTGCAGCCAGCGATTTTCCCAATGTGGTCATCGAAGGAGTTCTTCATAGAATATTTTATTCTCATCTGCAGCCCAGGTAGAAGCCCTACCTGGCTGGAAGAAGCTGAAGCAAGTTTCAGTGTCAATGGCAAGAACATCAGTAGCTTGACCAACTTACCTGAAATTCTGTGACACAATAGCTCTAGCTAGTGGGAAAATTCAGTCCTCGCTTCCTTCAGAACAGGGACATTNTTTTTTTTTTTTTTTTTTTTTTTTTTTTTTTTTTTTTTTTTTTTTTTTTTTTTTTTTTTTTTTTTTTTTTTTTTTTGCAGTTGTTGGAAAACGGAATAGAAAGATCATTCCAGACTGACAAACTTAGTTTCTTCTCTTGTAGACTAGCAGCTGTAAGCTGTATTTCCTTTCTGTCATTTCATTGGCCAGAGTTTCTTGTGAAATATCCAACAATAGTTGTGATGCTCTCTGCTGCTTGTCAAGGTGAGATGCTGAGTAAGACCTTTGCTGGCTCAGTCGGCCTTTAACAGATGGAAGGTGTGTCTCCATGTTTTTAGTTTGAGGACTTAGAACAGGGATGCTACACAGTGTTCCCTTGAGGGTCTGTAAGGATGTCTAGGTTTGGAAGAAACTGCGGAGAACAGCCTGGATGGATTGCCGTCTGTTGCCGTCTTGTCTTATTCACTGCTGATTCTCTTACTAAGCACTTACTAACCATATCATCCTGGCACAGCCTTGTAACCCTGCTTCCTTCCTCTAAATATTCTTGGTGTCTTGTGACAGTCTGTCTAAGCCCCGAGTTTTTAAAGTGAAAACTGAACTGCCCTCTGAAAAGATGCCCAAGAGTTCCCCAAAAGAGGCTAACATGCTCTCCGTGGTCAGGAGCTAGGGAGAGGAAGCTGCTGCGCTCTTGCAGTAAACCTCTTCTTCTGTAAATCTCCTGGGCACTTAACATGTGCTTGATTGGGTATTCTGAATATTCATTCTTAAAAGAAGATTGTAGGTCAGTGGCAGAGAACACTTGTCTGCCATCCACAAGCCTATGGCTTCCATCCCAGCACTGCAAACACCAAATATCAACAAAGAAACCTCGGAACTGGCGCTCATTCCAGGGGGCAGAAACTTTGGCTGTGTTTTATTCTTCTAGAACTCTCATGTCTCCTGTTAGCATCAGCAGCACCTTGCTTCTCAGAGGCATTCTTTTGGTGTTTACAGATAAAAGACAAAATTAAGGCCTTTGGGCTTCAAGCAGCTTCAGTTAAAGTTAATTACCAGCAGAAATAAACCTTTTTGTTTCTTTTTCTTTGGTTTCTCTGTTGCTTTGGTGCCTGTCCCGGAACTAGCTCTTGTAGATCAGGTTGGCCTCGAACTCACAGAGATCTGCCTGCCTCTGCCTCCTGAGTGCTGGGATTAAAGGCGTGCGCCACCACCGCCCAGTGCATTTTTGGATAGATGGCAATTCAGCTTCGTTATCCAACATTGAAATTGTTTGCCTTCTTTACATACTGTTTAAGATTTCATTACATATATTTATGTGTGTGTGTGTGCATGTGGTATGTGTGTGTTGTATATAGACATGTGTGTGTGTTCATGTGCAAGCGCACACTCTTGCTTCAGCGCTTATGTGTGTATGCACCACCATTTACATGTGGAATGAGTGAAAAATGCTGAAGCAGGCATGGGCAGCCCGTCTATGGCGGTTCTGTTGAACTTGTCCATATTGGGTTTCATGGTCTAAGTTGATGAGGACAGCTGACCAGGTCTCTTTCTTTACATGTGAAAGTCAGAGGATAATTTTTGGAGTCAATTCTCTCCTTTCAGAAAGTGGATTTCTGGAACTGAACTCATGCCTTCAGACTTAGCTGAACATGCCTTTATCTTCTGAACTATGCCTGCCGGCCCCGTTTGTTTGCTTGAGATAGCGCCTCCATGTGTAACCTAGGCTGGTCTCAAAGTCAAAGCAGTCCTCCTATCTCAGATTCTTTGGTGCTGGGTTTCCAGGTGTGTGCCACCATATCTGGCCTGATTTTCTTTCATTAGAGAACCTGATTTTCCTCCCCAAAGTATATTACGTAGTGATTATGATTGTGTTTTTATATTAAAAGAACATGGCATAGTTTTAAGTACTTCCGTGATAGAGAGTTTTATTAGAAAGGATGCACGTTCTGGAGATAGAGATATGTCCAATCAAGCTACAGCTCTCATCCCAAAGGGAGCAGAGAGTGTATTCATTCTGTGCCAAACACGAATGACCACGCCTTGGGACACATGGATTCACATTGCCCCAAATGGCATGCTCCACTCTGCTTTTAGTGGAGCTTTTATAGCCACAGGACAAACCATAGTCATAAATCAAGGCGTTTTCCAAACACATTTGTTCAAGCAGTTACTACTATGCCCATGTCGCAAGACCCCCGAACTTTTACTTTTAATGGGACATTTACTAGGACTGAGTTCATCTCCTGGTTGGGCCTTGTCTAAAATGGAGTTCTTTTTCAAAATGGAGTTTGTTTAGTCCCTTTAGTCTCTTCTTTGTTCCGAGAGCCCCATTATGGGTCTCAATCTCGTCTTAAGTTATCTAATTCCATCAGAGCCCCTGGCTGATAGCTGGCGACCATTATCAGAATTGCCCCCAAGCCTCTCTTTTATGAATTATACCAGCCTGTTTAGGATGCAGAGTTAGGAGTAAGATAATATGAAGAGGGGGCTCAGTAGGGTGGAGATTAAAGTAGTCAGCCAAGGGGAACTGTTAAACCAAGATTCAAACCCTCCCTGATTGGCCTCTTGTTCCCTCTCACCTTGGCCATATTGGCTTTTACCACCCCGCTATGATCTATACAGAAGCAGCATTTTTCTCCTAATGCAGCTCAGAGTGCCCCTTGCTGGAGAAAAGTTAGGCCTAAGCATCTTCTGTTTTGTAACATGACTTCTGCTGAAGACGTTAGAGATTTCTTTAAGTGAGAGACGGAGTTTTTTAATCACTCTGTATCTGTGTCTATAACAGCATGTTGGCTGGAATAATGCTGATTTTGGGTAATCAGGGAGGCCGTCTCCATTCCCAGTTTGCCTAGGCTAGCTCCCAGCAAAATACTTAGGGTAAGAGTGGACATAGGTTTTCTCCTAACTTGCCCCATGACTGGGATTCCTAGTCTATTTAACAGTTCATTGTTTGAGTGATAAATCAGCCTGGGGACCAGTTGCACCAAAATACAGAATCCTTTGCTGTCATTAAGGATCTTGTACGGGCACATGGTATTAATCCAGAGGAACATGCCCACCAAGTATCTTTAGGAGGAATTAGACTTCCTAGGGAGGTTGGAGGGGCCAAGGTTCGATTGCATAGTGTTTGTGTGTCATTTGGCATGGCGCCTACAGAACCCTGACCCGTTACTTCTTCAAAGGTCAGGTTGGCCTTAGATTGCCAATGATTGCTAAGTGATCACGCTTAGTCTCCATAAGGGGTGCAGTGTCATAACAAAGCCAACAAGAAGGTGTTAAGTTTGGCTCAGTAGGATTTAAAACCAGGACCGATCTTTGCACCAACTCAAGAAGCGGGTCCATCTCAGCTGGGCCCCTGCTCGGGGTGATGGTGCTGTCAACTGCCGTTAACATCAATGATGACAGTAATAACAATATCAAATGAGGAGCGGAAGGGGAGAGCCAGAAAGAGAAAGAACACATTACAGTGAAAGACACCAAGGTTGAGGCCTGGGCAGTTCCTGCCATGGTGTTGCCAGCCAAGAACGTGACTGTTGTCGTTGGGACATGGAGATGGTGGGCTTAGGTCTAAGGGGCTGAGGTATGGGGACAGGCTTGGGCTTGGGCCTGGGTTTAACTTGATTGGGCCCTATCACTATTACAGTGGTAGGATAGCCAACAAGCAATCTCACAGTGACCGTAGCTCCTGGGTCGGGTGCCTGTCCAAACCATTGAAGCTTATCCTAATGTCTGATTTCCCAAGTATATCCTTTGATCCATGTATCTTCTTTTCTCTGCCCCACCTTGGTGAAGGTTATATTTACAGGGTTACACCAGTGCTCCCGACAGCCTCCCACTTGCATTTGCTTAAGGCTGGGGAGAAAGCTGTGTGCTATCTATTATATGCTGTGGGGAATGAGGCGTTTCAGGGAGATGTAATCCTTCTTAAGAGGGGGGTCCCCCTATAAGTTCCTAGTAAACACATAAGACCACCTGGCACAATACTAGTCATCCCATCCCCCACACTTTCCAGACTCTGCTGGCTGCATGTTGTGAGCATATATAACAGTGTGGGTCCCTGCGCTGCAGTAGTGAGAAGCAGAGGGCAAATGAGGGCCAATGTCTGGGTCATCGGGGGGATAGAAGTGGCAGAGATTCACAGTTATATTGGGGAACACAGTTAAAATGGGGCCAGCTTTAGACACTTGGACTATGATGTTCTTATCCTGAATGTATCCCCGAGTAGTTCTTATGAGTTGCCAAGTCAAATTTAGGGGGGTATGTGGATTTCCCGAGGAACATCTCATAGGCACAGTACATAGAGATAGCAAAATCATTAAGATTACCACCTCTTGGAACACCGAGTTCACAGCTTGAGCGGGTTGCTTGGGTCCTTGGCAACCTCCCATCCATCTCAACGGTGGTCTTTGAGTGTGAAGGGATCAGCAGGTCTGGCGTGGGTATAGTGGTTCCAGGAGGCTACGCCATCAACCTTGATGGTGGTCGTGTAGTCATACCAACTGCCATCGAGGTTGACGATGGCGTGGTCAGTGGTCAGTAGAATGACGAAGGGTCCTTTCACTGGGTTCTAGTGGATGTCTCTTAGCATAGACCCAGCCCCCTGACTGAAACCTATGGTGTTCAAGAGGGACACCAGACTCATTAAGGGCCCTAAGCTTTGGCCATACATGATTCTCTGTATAGAGTCAAGAAGTTCTCGGTCATCCAACTTTGCCAGGAGTTCTGTCTGCAAGATGGGGACAACAGGGATGGGGTACCAAACATAATCTCAAAAAGTGTCAGCCCCGTTTGGTAAGGAGAGTTTCTAACCCTAAATGAGGCACAGGGGAGGAGGGTCCGCGCCAGTCTCCAGGCCTAATTTAGAAAGGGTTTCTTTTAGAGTTCTATTCCTGCGTTTTCCCTGTCCTGAACTCTGGAGTCTATATGCACAGTGTAATTTTCAATCACTCCCCAGGACGGTGGCTAAACTCTGACTCACTTGGGATACAAAAGCTGGTCCATTGTTTGACCCTATCACAGTAGGAAACCCGTATCCACTCAGGATGTCTTCTAGAAACTTCTTGGCCACCACCAGTGCCAGCACTGTCTTGTGTTTGGCAGGGAATGCTTCCGTGCAGCCGGAGAAGGTGGCTATAAACACTAACAAATATTTATACCCATATTTGCCAGATTTGACTTCAGTGAAGTCCACCTCCCAATACACACCAGGCTTCTTTCCTCTGAGTCGGCCCCCAGGGTGTTTGGGATTGGCAGCAGCATTGGTTAGTTGACAGGCCTTTTATTAGAAACTATGTCCGCAATTTTCTGCTGCCTGTCTCTGATTTTAATTTCAGAGCGCCTCAATAAGTCTTGCGTCTGCGAATCCTCCTATAAGAGGAGCAGTGGATCTTTGGGAGCAGCTTCTTTCCCAGGTGATCATGTGACATGACTTTACAGTCAGCTGAGCGCCACCATCCTTCTGGACATTGTGTCATAGGGAGAGACTTTATCCAGGTCAGGTTCTCCTGGCACTACTTCCCGGGCAGTGTTATCTGCCAAATTGTCACCTCTGGGAATAGGCCCATCCCCCTAGTGCCCAGACAATGTATGATGGCCACGGTCCATAGGGCTTAGAGAAGGGCTAGAATCTCCTCTTTATTTCTGATAGTCCTTCCCCTCTACAGTTTACAATCCCCTCTCTTTATCTGTTGCCCCACGCACCTGTATGCAGCAAATGCACAAGGGCTGTCAGTGTAGGTATTGATTTTTCTCCCCTGTCCCAGCTCCAGGACCTTTGTCAAGGCCACCGGTTCAGCCCTCTGCGCAGAGATGCCAGCTGCCATTGGTTCAGCCCAGACCACCTCCTCTGACGTGGTCACTGCAGCCCCTGCACACCTCTGTCCATTTTGTACAAAACTGCTCCCGTCAGCACACCAGGTAACCTGTGTGTCAGGCAGAGGGGTGTCTGTCAGGTCAGGACGGACACAGTGTACTTGGGAGGCACCTCTAGGTCTGAATCAGGCAGTAAGGTAACCCGGTTCAGGACTGTGGGTACCTGGGATGTTATTCCAGCAGGGTTACCACCTATCAGGGGGACTGCTTGAGGACTTCTTCCAAAGCATGAGGGTTGCCTATGGTGAGGCTTTGTCCCAAGTCAATTTATCAGCATCTTTTACTATTAAGGCTGCAGCTGCTGTTATACAGAGTTGGGGGGCATCCGGCTGCCACAGGGTCTAATTTTGTGGACAAATAGGCTACTGGCCGTTTCCAGGGACCCAAATTCTGGGTCAAGACATGTTGAAATAGGAGCGGCGGCAGGGCTGCGTCCCCGGCACCCGGCCGCCCGCATGGCTAGGCTATGCCCCGAAATAATTACACGGAAACTGTATTCTATTAAACACTGCCTGGCCCGGCTAGTTCCAGCTTCTTATTGGCTAGCTCTTACATATTGTTCTAACCCATTTCTAATATTCTGTGTAGCCCATGAGCTGGCTTACCAGGGAGGATCTTAACCTGCGTCTGTCTGGAGCTGGAGAATCATGGTGACTCCTCCACTAAGCTTCTTTCTCCCAGAATTCTCTTCTGTTTTCTCCACCCACCTAAGGGTGGGCCTATCAAGGGGCCTAGGCAGTTTCTTTATTAATAAGAAATCACTCCCACATCAAAGACACGTTTAGCTGTTCCTTTGCGCACATCCACAAACAAATAAAAGGGCTTGGTCACATCTAGTAGACCCAGTGCTGGGGCCGAACATACTTTATTGGAGTTTGTCAAAGGCTTGTTTACGGTGTTCTGTCCATAGTCCTGTCCTTCCTTATAGAAGTTTGGCCAATTCAGCAAAGCCTGAGATCCACAAGCGGCCAAAGCCCGTGGTACCTAGGAACTCTCTCACTTGTCTGGCCATGGTGGGAACCGGGATCTAAAGTACCATCTCTTTTCATGTATTAGAGAACCACCATTGTCCTCCTTTTAACATACCTGTCGCCTGCAGGCGTGGACTTTCTTGGCTGAGGCATGGTATTCTAGGCCTCCCAGGACTTGTAGTAACTTCTCAGTTCCAGTCAAACAGGTCTCTCGATCTGCAGCAGCAATTAGTAAGTCATCAAAATCCTGCAACAGGCTAACATCTGGGTTTTGGGTCTGGTCCTCTCACCCAAATCTTAGTGCAGAGCTTCATCAAAGTTGGTGCTAAAACTATTAAATCCTTGTGGCAGACTGGACCATGTCAGTTGGCCGCTGGCCCCAATCTTTGGGTCATGCCATTCTAAGGCAAAATACAATTGGCTCTTGGGAGCCCAAGGCAAACTGAAAAGGGCATCCTTTAGCTCCAGGACAGTATACCATTGCCGATCGGGGACAATAAGCTGAGCAGGGTATATGGTTTGGTATGGTGGGGTGTTTGTCAACAACCCTTTTATTAACTTCTCTTGGATCCTGGACTGATCTTTAGTCATTGGTGTGTGATTTCTTAACAGGCAGCAAAGGTGTGTTCCAGACTGATTGCACAAGATGATGCCCTTCTTGGCCTCTAAGGATATGGGATACTTACAGACTTTGACTGGGTCTACCCCCAATTTGATCCCTACATAAACGGGATGGGGGTGGGGGGATGACAATGTGCTGCCAATCCCATACCCCCAGTTTCGGCCCATGCCAATGGAAACTTTAGGAACCATTTCCAGAGAAATGTATCTGAGCTTTCATTTTTGCCAATAGATGTCGGCTAATAGGGGATAGGGGCATTCTGGAATTACCAGAAATGAATGGGCTACCATCCCATTCCTAAGTCCACCATTCTTCGGGTGGTCCACGAATAGGGTTTTGTCCCTGTGGCCCATTGGACCCAAATCTTTTTGTTGGCCATGGGCCCATCAGCCTTTAAAATTACTAAATTTTGAGCTCCTGTATCTACCATGAAGTTTCACAAGAGCAGTTTGATCTGATGCCTGCAAGGACACCCGAAGGTGGCAGATGTAAGCAGATGTTGTTTGGGCACCCTGGTGGGGTCACTTGGACCAGTGCAGACATAGTGGGTGGCTTTTCCTGGAACTGTTTCTAACTCTTACTGGGGCTGAGTTCATCCTGGTTTGGTCTTGTCTGAAATGGAGTTCTTTTTCCAAACGAAGTTTGTTCGGTTCCTTCAGTTAAGCAGTGGGAGAATCTGTGCTGTTGGTCGCCCGATGCTATGCGATGGTGTTCTTAGCTTTAGGGTCAGTGGAAGGCAGTGGTCTGTTGAGAATACATGGCCAGGCTTTTACCTACGTGTTAGAAGGCTGCTGGGTCAAATACAGAAGTATCTGATAAAGCTACTATTTAGGAAATGTGATAATCCAAGGTAATTTTAGCTCTGAGCAGTAGCGTTTCAACTCCACAGCCAGGAAGTTCTAGACAATCCAAGAATTGTCATTTAGATGTGACTTAGAGAACTCAGCTCACACTAGAGTTCACGCTGAAGGTACTGGAGGACTTAGTCTCAAGCTTTTCAAGAAAATAAACAAAACGAAACAAGGTGAACAATGCTGCTGTTGATAGTCACCTGCCTACTTGCCTCCTGAAGGTTTTGTTTTTGTTTTGCTTTTTTGGGGGTGGGGTGACACAGGTTCTTAGAGAGTCCTTAGCTATTTTGTAAACGTGCATTTGGGAGGCAGAGGCAGGTGGATCTCTGTGAGCTCAAGGCCAGCCTGGTTTAAAGCGCTAGTTCCGGGACAGGCTCTAAGGCTACAGAGAAACCTTGTCTCAAAACAAACAAGCAAGCAAACAAACAAACAAACAAAAAACCCGTTGTGTATGATGCACATTTGCCAGACACAGGTTGCCAATGTAACCGATTTGGGGAGTCATTTGGGGTTAATCTTAGCAGTTTGAGAATCTCACTTGCGGCGATAGTTTGTGTACACTTTAAATTTTTACTTTAAAAAAAAATAGCTTAGTTAGGTTGCTAGACCAAGCTGTTAAGGTGGTTTTCTTTTCCGCTTCAAGTTCGTGAGGCAGCTGACGTCTTGTTCCCTCTGAGAGACAGCTATTCTAGCTGCGCAGCCATGATTCATTCAGCAAACATTAACCAAGCGCCCCATGCTCTCTGTTCTGGGAGTAGAGCCGGGAGTGGTGTTCCAGCTGAAAGAACAGTTTAAAATCGGATCCAGTTTCTAAAATAGGGAGCTGGTAAAAGCGTGTACTCTTGAGTGTAAAACATACCTTTAATTCATAGTGATTATGTATTTAATGAAAAAAAAAGAAGTCCTATAAATTCTGACAATCCCCTGGAAAGGAGGTAAAAGCAGAGGCAGTTTCTCTTCCTCTTGGCCGAGAGTTCAGCGGTCCCCGAGGTCAAGTGTGGAACTAGGTTCTTAGAAAACACTGCTGAGAGTGGTGCGCAATCTAGGCACTTGGACTTGGAGGCAGGAGAACCTAGAGTTCAAGGACAGCCCTGTCCCAAACAGAAAGTAAGCAGACGTTTGCTTTGGCCCTGTCTTAGGTTGAGAGTGGAATTGAAGGCTGGAAGGGTGATATTCCTGCCCTTGGGGGGCTTCTCTGAGTCTGGGGGCAGGCTTGGAGCTGGCAGGGAAGTGTTGGGTTCCAGGCTGGCTGGTAGAGCCCCGTGTGGGCCACTTCTGCTGTGCCTGGGGTGGGGGAGGGTGCTTAGGAATGCTGACTTTGAAATCTGATTAGGGTTTTGCTAGCCTGTGAATTTTAAGAAGAGGAAGTACAGGACAAAAATCTGAGAGAACTGGCGTTTCAGACTCCAGATACTACTAACTAAATAAACCGGGGACATCAGACTCCAGATACTACTAACTAAATAAACCGGGGACATCAGACTCCAGATTCACCAACTAAATAACCTGGGGGAAAAGAGACCTCCCACCCAGTCGGTGTGATCTCCAGAGAAGCAGGCCAGGCTGTTGTAAGGAAAGAGCAGATAAACTCAAGTGTTATTTCCCAGGGTCCTGGTACTTAACTGTGGTTTCTACCTTATTGTCACTGCCATTTGATACACAATTTGAGAATGAGGCTGAGGTTGAGTGAGGGAGCCTGGCCTTTCCATCTTACGTTTTTTTCCGAGTAGTTTGTACCTACTGAGAAAAATTGTAGACTTTGTATACCACATCCAAAGGCAGAGAGCATACTTCCTTATAATAAAGGGTGTTTGCCTCGGAAACGCTGAGCCAATAAATGACCTTTCAGATCTCATTATTAGTTCCCAGTCAGCCTGCTGATAAGGGAGCCCTGTGTGTGCCTGGTGGAGGCCAGGGTTCCCCGAACCCTTAGGGAACAAGAAGGATAGGTTAGCTAGTTGGAGAGAAAAGTGGGGAATTTCTGGGGCTGGGAGAAGGGCCGGTCTTTCCCTATCACCCAACCCTTAGGCATGCCGTAGGAGAAGTGCTGAGGACACTGAGACCACAATGTCCTGAAGTCGTGGTCATCCATCCTCTGCCCATGAGATGAACGAGGCCTTTGTTAACCGTGCAGCACTGGCAAAGGGCCTATTCATGCCGAGTGTAGTAGAAGCACACGTTAAATATTTATTAAACGATGAACTCGGGCGTGTGTGAGCTCTGATCCCTACCCTTGAAGACAAAAATGCAGTTTAAAAGTTCCTCTTGAACATCAGCACACTTACAGTGATTGCTGCATTGTCAAAATAGGGACTTTAGTGTAGCTCAGCGCTAAAACGCTGGCCTTGGGTTTGATCCCTTGAATCGCGAAACAAGCAAGCAAATAATCACCATTTTTGTATGCATGAGGCCCTCAAACACAAACAATAGCTAAACAACTTTCAAAGTTAGCACAAGAGGATTGAGTTTTGTAAATAAATTATTTAGAAATTTGGGGATACAAGTGTTAGAAATATTTTTTAATCTTACAAGTGCTTTAGCAAGTACTTTTAAGGTGTGGCAGCCTGAATAGTGAGGTTTTCTATTACTGATGAAGACAAA